CGGGCATGTGATTATGTGATTTAAATTCGTTTAATTTGCATAAAATTTTATTTTCCGGTGCGTACACGTGTCCGATTCTTAACACTATACACCGAATGTTTTGAACAAATGCAGCTCCGTGTAAAAATAAGTCCAATAGGGACCATATGATTTTTCGGCCGAGGTTGTGGCAACAAAATGGGAGATTTCGTTATAACCTTACCCAAACCCGTACGAACAAGTTCCTGATCGTGGATGCCCCGTCTAGATACAATATGACCTTGGGGCGACCGCTTTATCTTTTCTGAGTTGTGGTATCAACATATCATATGAAGATGAAGTTCAAGGTGGATAAAGAGGTCGACAAGGTTATAGGCGAACACGAGGATTCGAGAAAATGCTACGCAGAGGAAGTTCAGAAGGCGGAAAAGAAACGAGAAGCGAAACCCTAAGCACTAGCAGAGAAAAAATAGCTCGGATAAACCCAGAGGAGGAACTGCGAGTAGTGCCCGCAGAGGAGCTACTCACGATTGTGTTAAAGCCCGTTCAGACGGGGTACTTGTCGCAACAACTACAACGATGGCACAATTGTGAACTAGAGACAGCATTTGAATAACCTTTCTTTAATAAAACCCCCAAAGTTATTCTCTAGATTGTGCGGCTTATATATGTACGAAATCAGCTAACGTAACCCTAGCTTGAACCTAAAAAAATAGATTTTTTAGAAAATAGAATCATTAATGATTTCTAAGCTTATTATGAATAATAATAAATATTTCCTAATGTAAAACAATTAAAAATAAATAAATAAAGTCATAATTAAATAAATAAAAAACTCTAAAGAATTGCAAAACAAGATACATTTCCTAACAAATACATATAATTAAATATTTGCCATTTTTTATTTATCAAAAAGTCATATATTTCATCAAATTTTCTTTTGAGAAGTATGGCATCAACAATTTCCATCTCTAATAAATTAATTTCTCATCCATTTTAAATGCCTAAACATCTTTTATATATATATATATATTATGTTTCTTTTTCTCCCTAAAGTTTAGTTGGAACCCAATATATATACATGTCCAATCTCCCTCCCATCCATCAATCAAAGATCAAAGAATTTGGGTCACGTGTCGAAATCTCATGAGATGGACATATTTTCTTTATGAGCTACGTTTCGCTATGTCATTGCTGGTTTCCTTCTCTTGGCCAAAGCAATCTTTAATTAACATTAAATTTTTAAAAAGTAATTAAACATTAATTAACATCGATTTGAATATGTGTAGAATATATATGTATGTATTTATCTATGTATACATATGTATGTATTTACATTTACTTATATATATAGGATTTTTTAGTTTTCGATTAATTTGTAAATTGTTGTTTATTGGTAGCGGAGTACTGTAATTCCAAAAGACTTGAATACAAAATTTCGATGTCATTTTAGGGAAAGTTCTCTTGAAAATAAATAATGAGAAAGAAACTAGAAAATTTATTTATATATATATATATATATATATATATATATATATATAATTTTTAGGTATTTTAAGATTAAAATATGTCTAGTCAATTTATTTGAAAGTGTTGTGAAAGGATCAAATCTATCGAATTCGTATAAATTATATAGAAAATATAAAATCAGAGATTTATATATATGATATGAAAAAACAAATTATGGTAAAGAAATGTTTGCAGTGGAAATTAAACGACACAAGTTTTAAATTACTATCTAGTATCTACAAGTATATAACTTGTGCATGTGTCTTTACAAGCAAAAATAATTATAAAACATGATTCGAAATGCCCAAATTAAAGAGAAGTAAAAGATCTTTCCTTTTATGAAGAAATTAAACTACAAGTTGATTTCTTTGTACAAGCATTCCTAGAATTAATGACAATTTATACTTAATAGAAGAAGTACGTGCATATTGGTATTCAATGATATCGAATACAAACAGACTCAATTCTGTAGTGAGTAAAATACAACGAAAACAAAGCGCTCTGCTCTCAACGTTCTTCTTCAGAAATGCATAATGAATGAAATAAAGACATCTCGTATTTATAGAATCCGAGAGCTCTTATCTTGCACGAAAAAGAACACACTAAAAGAGATAATGAGTTTAGTAGGTGGATTAATTAAGCATGTGTTAAAATAATTAAGCACTAAACTTACTCATTAATTAATATTAACAAAATCAATTTAAAAAATTAAGATTGATTTAACGAAAAATAAAATAAACTGTATTTGACTTCGATAATCAAATATCCGACACGTGGAAAACAATATGCAGAGAGAATCACTCTTTTTTTAATCCATCTCCCGTGTAAATTGTTATACAAAGAGATTTACCTATAAATATTTGAAGTCATAAAGCAATCATGATGACTTAATTATTTATATATATAATAAATCATGCATTCTTGGTAAAAATAGAAATATTTATTTCTTTTTTTTCGACAAGTAAAATAGAAATATTTCATTAAATTATTTTCAAAGTATAAAAAATGCTGAAAATTGGTGAAGTCTTTGGTTGCATAATTTCATTAATAATGGTTGTAGCCCACATCAAAAGTGGAGGACAAAAAACACCAATTTTCTTTTGAATACTACAAGACATGAGTTCTTGATTTCAGACAAGCTTTATTAAATCCTCAACTTAAAAAACGACACATATTGGAATGAGTGGGCAGCAACTTTTGAATTCCAACATTTCAATTTGGGTGTCATAATTCCACATTTACATTGTTATGCATACAAATTAAGGGACACAAATTGTGATAATTTATTGACTAATATGCTCTCATCGGTAGGGATGTCAACTTAACTTGCCCCGCCCCGAATTCACAGTCACCGGGTAATTCCCGACCTGTTAGCTAATGGGGTGAATACGGATTTTAAAATATCTCTAAAAATCAGTATTTCTGCCCGGTATTCAACCCACTTACATATTTTTATTAATTTTATATATTTTTATATTATTGAAAATACTATTCTTTAGAGATATTTTAAATAAATAACTTATAAATACAAAAACAATAATATTTTTATTTACAGTTTAGGGCGGACGTATAGTAAAATTACACCCGAAACAAGTAGGGGGGGGGGGGGGGGGGGTGATTTATTTATTAGAGGGATTGGTGCGGGTATTCTAAAACCCATCCCGTACCCGCTCCATGGTCGTTCGTATTCATTAACACATAAGTGTAATAGATACATTGACATTAAAATAGTTTGTTAGTTTTTCAAGTACAATTAAAATATTTCATGATTTTCATTAAAAAAACCTAACTATCATCTATTTAAGGAGTAAATATAATTGTAAAAAAAATGAGGTTTTTGTAATTCAAACATACTTTATTAGGTTATTGGTTATTTACACTTTCTAATATTGTTCTCTGTCGTTTTAGTTTAAGGAAAATTTAAGCGATCATTTTTCAGGTAAAACTACCTGAATTAGAGAAAGTTAATATATGAACTTGTAAATGAGTGCATGATATAAATAGGTAAAACAAAAGTACCAGATATATATTATACCTGGTGTAAGCACTCGGTAATTTTGAACCGTAAATCTATATAAACAACTATCCACAAGTACACATACACATGAATGTGTGTGTTATTAGATTAATGGTTCAAGATCACGATCGCTCGGCATATTTCACTGATCGAGTATAGCATCTACAAAACCACTCTTACGAGTCATGATATTATAGGTTCTTATTCTGGTTTACCATTGTTGTCTTTGCTTCTTGAATATGTCATTCATTTTCCTTTATCTTTTGAATTTAGCCATTAATATTTTCAGGACAATAAATATTGATAATATTTAAATCCAAATTAATATATCGCTGAATTGTTTTTTTTTTTTTTTTTTTTTTTTTTGAATTGGAAAACAAATCGATGAGGTACAAGATTACGGGACTCACAAGTCACAACTGTCAAGTACTGCAAAAACAAAATAAAAAGTAAAGCACATAGTCATCAATGTATATATTAATTTGTTTTGTACTATTATATATTATTCTCCCTTTACATTATTTAAATTTATTTTGTACTACTATATATTATTCTTGTACAATGCATTAAACTTAAAATATGATGATCTATATATAAAAAAAAAAAAAAAATTATATACTTCAATTATTGAAACAAAAGTTTTAGGCTTTCTGAAAATTTTCGTTGACATACATGAAGAATTTATTTAATACATAGAGATGGTTATATTTAATACATTACACATATTTTTCATAAGCTCTTTTAGATCGTGGCGGTATAATTAATTTATTTTTAGCCGACCCAATATATCGGATGTTTTAAAAAAAAGGAAAAGTTGATAGTGACTGTGAGTTAAGTTAGTGATAAGTGTTTATATTTTAGCTTAAATAACTTATTTTAAGAGAATACTACATAAGCAAACCCTGGTATTGTATGTAAACATTTCAAATGTGATTCTGAACTAAAAAAAAATCTAAAAAAAACTTATAATTACCTTTCAAAAGCTTTAGCAAACACCACCTAGTTTAGTCCACCTGAAGTTACAAGAAAATTTAAGAAGTAGAAGATTAAATGATTTTATTATATTTTAGTGTATATTATTTTAATTAATTTTTTTATATATATGTACCCCTAACTCTTAAGTACAAATTTTGGGAGCCTGAATTCCTGTGAAGATTTAACCAATATAAATTCTGGCTCCATCACTGACTATATCTTAATCTAAAGGCTGATCGATCTTGGTGGGCTTGACCGCTTTGCGCCTAGAGCACCTCTAAACGTTGATTGCACGTCTCATAATCGATAACTAGTAAATTATTGATCGTTTTTTGTTTCTTTTTTTTTCAAAAACAAAAAAACAAAAAAAATAAATACCATATCAACACAAAAAAAAAAAAAAAAAAAAGTTTAAGCACCTTGGATATCTTGCAGAAGTGCCCTTAACTCATATACTAGGTTACATCTTAATACCTACGACACTACGAAAAGTAAAAAAAAAACAAAAAAAAAAAGAAAAAAGATGAGATCTCTCTATATAAACTGCATGAAATAACATGTGTAACCTGAAAACAAGAACCTTTTGAACACATGTCTTTGTCTTTACTTTCTCTTTTCCTTATTACTCATCTTCTTCTTCTAACCTAATTTTCTAGAAATATTCGAGAAAAATTAGGTTTAATAATTTCGATAAGTAAATATATCTAAAAAAAAATGGGGAGAGGAAAAGTAGAGTTGAAGAGAATTGAGAATCCAACAAACAGGCAAGTTACATTCTCAAAGAGAAGAAATGGTTTGTTGAAGAAAGCTTTCGAACTCTCCGTACTATGCGACGCCGAAGTTGCCCTCCTCGTCTTTTCTCCTTCCGGAAAAGCTTACCAATTTTCCAGTCACGAGTACAATAACCAATCATTTTTTTAAAAAAATTAATTTTAATTTGGATTTCGCAACATAGTATTTATTTATTTTTCATCGATAATAAGTCGAATTAATTGATGGTTTTAATTTTAATTTTTTTTTTTTGTTACTGCAGCATAAATAGGATTATTACAAGGTACAAAATTGAGGCTGGGATAACTAAATCAGATGAGCAAGGCATCACATCCATGGAGGTAATTTTATATATATAATTATATAGAGAGTCAAAATTAATATTACGCGTTTATATATTGTAAAAAATCAAGAAATCATGAATTAAAGATAAAATATTATTGTGCAGGTATGGAGAAATGAAATTGAGGAGTTGAGCAGAACAGTTGAGACACTTGAAGCAAGAGAAAAGTTTGTGTTAAATCTTTATAGTAAATAGTTATTTTCACCATTTAAATAATTATTTATGATATATAGATATATATATAAATGTATGTATGAATAAATAAAATAATTGTTAGGCATTTTGCTGGAGAAAATCTATCTGGGCTTGGAATGAAAGAGTTGAAACAGATAGAGCGGCAACTACGAGTCGGGGTGGAACGCATTCGTGCTAAAAAGGTCATTCTTGAAACTATTGTTTTCGTTATCATGATTTTTTTTTTATTATAAAGTTCAATCATTCAAATATATAATCATTATATATTTTATATTTCAAACTGATCACATGGTCAAGAAAATTACGATTCATTAAACTAATTACTCTCGTGTCGATATTTTTTTCAGAGACGCATCGTTGTGGAACACATAAACTACTTGAAGAAAAAGGTAGTTAGGTTAATTTATTTTAATTTCTTTGCTTAGTTACCAATTAAGTATATATGAAAAACTAAAATGATGAAAATATATATACCCTATTGTGATTATTATTGCAGCATAAGGACCTTCAAGAAGAAAACAACAATCTCCAAAAGAAGGTGTGACTCCCATTATTTAAATAAATTATGAAATTAATTATGTACTACCTAATTTTGTTTTTCAATATATTAAATTAATTGGGTATTTTGTATGTATATGAAATGAAGCTGCATGAGCTTCAAGAAGGCAATACTAGCACCATCATTCTAGAATCAGATTCAACCTGCAGGCTTTTCCAAAGGTATATAGCTACCACCTACCTATAATGTCCTTTTTTTTTCAAATAAAAAAATAATAATAATAGAATTATGAAATTTCATCACTATTAAACAAATAACATGAAAATGGTGAATTGCATTTTGCACCCTAGAAATGCCATTGATTGATGACTTGCACCTCGAAATCCTAAACTTGGCAAAACACACCCTCAAATTATATATCTCTTGGCAACTTGTACCCTATATCTATTTTATTGCAAGATTTGAACCAATAAATCAATATATCCTGATATTAATAGTATATTTGAAAGGGCAAATTATTCATGACGAAAAAATAAAAAGGTCTCTGCAACAAATTATCAAACATAATATTCGTTTCTTAAGCTCCATCCTACATATATGTATGTAACTACATTGTTAAACATTTCTTTTTCCGGTTTCTAAACTTTTTTTTTTCATGAAGTTTCTAATTTTTTTTGAATTATTCTTGAATCACAAATTATTTTGTACACTACATGGGATACTGATATAATTAAACATTTCAAGTATATACATTGACTTATTATAATATCTACATAAAAAATTTTATGAAATTTCTTGTAATTAAAATCTCGCGAGAAATAGATATACAGTGCAAGTTGCCAAGCAATATATAATTTAAGGGTGCATTTTGCTAAATTTTGAATTTTTGGGGTGCAAGTCACCAATCTATGTTATTTAAAGGATGCGAAACGCAATTCACCCACAAGTATTTCCGTTCTTTTTGTTTTTTTTTTTGGTCCTAACTCTTTTTATTTTCTGCGTATATAGGATTGAATGAAATGCATTAGTTTCAACAAGAATAATCATCTGGATGTTTTAGCCTTTGATCTGTGGGATACCCTATAGCTTTTCATGAAAGCCCTGTATGAATTAAACTAGGTTTTATTAATTAACTTCCTTCTGTTTTTTTTTTTATTATTATTTTTTTTTCCTGTGATTTATTTCCAGTACTTTTGATGAATATATGGTTGTGTGTTGGTTCATCAGCATTTGGCAAATTAAATGGAAGTGTAAAATATTACTATGATGATTGTAATGATATTAGCTTTGCTTCAACTAAGTAAGTAGTACTACATGTAATGATATGTCATTTTCAAAG